AACCTCAGTCAGTCCAAGCCATTGCCCCAGCCAAAAAGAAATGACAGTCCCACGGACGCAGTCAGAGACAGAACCAAAAGTGTGGGCAAGGCCGTTGTCAGTCATTGGCTTGTAGCCTTTCAGTTTTCCCTGTCCTCGGCCTCCTGAAGCCATTGTTCCACTGGGTCCCGACTTAGAAACCTGRCCAGTCGTTGCCCTGGGAAGGGTCCTTTCAATCCAGTTCCATCCAAATCTTCCAGTTGGAAAGTGTTTAGTCCCACCCGCTTGGCGACCCGGTAGGGGCCTTTGAACCTCCTCCCCARTTGTCCAGACCAAGTACTTTCTAGTGCCGAATTCCTTAGCAATACCATCTCCCCCACTTGAAGTGGCTCCTTTCTGACATTCTTAACCTGGTCCCACCTTGCTTTGTCCCTCATCCTGCTGTCCAGTACCCGATTGGCGATGTCTTCCATGACCTCTTCGTTCTTAAGGACCTGTTGACACCTTGCCTCGATTAACTCCTCCGTGGTCATTCGCGGATCATCCTCTAATCTGTTCCAGGTAGGTATCAAGGCCTCCACGGGAAAGTCGATYTCCCTCCCGTACCAAAGTTCCGTTGGGATACATCCCGTTGTCCTCTTAGGTGTCATGTTCTGTAAGAAGACAGCCTACTTGAGATACCTCGACCARCTTCCCAGATGATCCGCTGCGAGCTTCGCAATCGTGTTCTTTAAGGTTCGGTGCCCTCTTTCCACAGGTGCATTGGCCTCTGGGTGATACGGCTCGATGAGTTTGGTCGATACGCAGAGTCTCTTAAGCATTCCCAATACTTCTTGGTTCACAAACTCTGTCCCATTGTCCGCTATAAATCTCTTGACGAAAGGATGCCTCAAGTAGAAGTCTTCTATCCAGTCCGCTACACTTCTCCCTGTCTTTTTCTTGAGAGCGACCGCCTCCACGAACCCATTCAAGTTGTCTCGCGCATCTAGAATATACATGTACCCTTCTGTTCATACAGGCATGACCGCAAGGTCAAGGTGGACCAGATGTCCCGGCCCTAGCACCCGCGTAGGTCTAAGCGGCTCGAAGACCCGTGCCGAGCTTCGTTCTTGGCAGATAAGGCATGTCTGGCAGTATATGGCGACCATGCTTGCCATGCATGGCCAATAATAAAATGGCGTTTTCTTTGCGAGAGTCCCTTTGGACGACCGATGCCCTCCTGCTAATCCGTCATGCATTGCCTGGATAACATCTAACTGCCTAGATCTTCCGCACAGAACTCTTCTAGGCATAGCTCCTTCTCCTCTTCGGAACAGATGGCCCCCCCTTAGGACGTACCTCCCGGCCTCCTCCCTTGCTTTAGTGCTGACTTCCGTGGTTTGCTTGTTTCCTACCAGCAACAACCCGATCTCCCAAAAGATCCCTTCGTATATCTGGGCATAGAAAAACTCCTTCCCTTCGTGGTCCTCATCCTTTCTCTACTGCATYTGGTTTACCATCCACTGCAACTCTTTCTTTTCCCAAAATTCCACTAGGCTCATCACGAYTTCCCGMCCTCCCTYAACYGCCATTGCTATTAGCTCCTCCTTCGGTCGTACTATTGCTCCCCATGAATCTCTCTCCTCTTTACGACCTCGAGTGGTGACGGGTCCTTCTCTAAGTTCTGCTACTACGGCAGGCGCCCCCTTTTCCAAAGTCCGGATCAACAATTCTCCCGACGCGCATTCTTCGCCCATCATTTCGTTGTCCACCGCAAGAGTTCCTCCTTCGTATTCGAGGAATGCRTCTATGGGCTCCGCATCCTCCACCCCTTCGGGAGTGATGCAGACCCGGCTCAGCCCATCCGCCTTGTTCCTAATTCCCGCAATCCGTTCGATTTTGTAATCGAACTGCCAGATAAATCCTACCCATCTCCCCACCGTCGGATCTATATGCCTGTAATTCTTTAAGGCCCCCGCAACATTCGTCGGATCGATCCTAAGGATGAACTGCCTCCCAAATAGGTACGCCTGGAAGGTCTTGAGGCAATGTAAGATGGCTAGGACCTCCTTCTTAAACTGTGAGTACCGCCGTTCTGCGGAGTTCAAGGTTCTACTTTCGAACCTAATTGGTCTCTTTTTTCCTCCCTCATCCATTTGAATCAATACACCTCCTACGACCAAAGGTCCTCCATCCGTCTCTACGATGAAGGGTCGTCCTACTTCGTCGTTAAAACAGGGTGCGGACAAGGCGACTTGCTCAGACGTCAGTATGTCCTTGAGCGTTTGGGCGGCTCCTTCTCGCTCCTCTGTCCAGTCCATGGTCCCTTCTTCTCTAATCATGGCCCGGATAGGCTCAACAATCTTGGCGAAATTCTTAATGAAGATCCTCCAAAAGCCGACCACGCCTAGGAATGCCCTTACTTTCGTTGTCGTGCGCAGGGGTGTTGGCCACTGTGATATCTTGTCTGTCTTTGCCGGATCTGGCTTCCTGCCGTATGCGCCACAACGAAATCCTAGTATGRTTACTTATGGTACTGCTAGGATACTCTTTGGTCCACTAGCCGTAATGTTGTATACTAGGAACCGGCGGAGTAAGTCCTTGATGTCCTGTAGGTGGTCCCACACAAACCTTCGGATTCCTGGCTGGACGTTCGTCTCGTCTTTCTCCTGCGCGCCTTTGATCGGATTGTCGTCGATGTAGGGCTCACACTTTTCTGGGAACATGTCCTCGGCTACGGCGAGCATTCTGCGTTGCACTTCGGCCACCCATTTGTGAAGCCCATAGGGGTCACTTGCATCTGTAACTGGCCTACGGGGGTGTGCATAGCAGTGTACGGCCGGTCCCGAACATCCAATGGGAGCTGGTCGTACCCTGAGTACAGATCTATCAAGGAGTAAATGCTCCGGCCGGCATGCGATTCTGCTAATAAATCGGCCTGAGGCAGCATTCAACTTCTGCGGATCCTGAATCCACCTTGGCGTCTTGTTGGGCTTCCGAAAGACGAACCACCGGTGTGCGTATGGCGACGCTGTAGGTTCTGGAACGAAGGAGTCCATCTTCGCTCGGAGGAGGTCTATCACTTCCCCTGCTATCCCAAACTCATAGGACGGACCCTTGTCATTCCAACACTCATGCTCTACTGTGTGGATTCTGACCGGAGGGATCAGCTTCGCATCCAGCCGTCCCTTTTGATGATCACTAAAGGCAAATGCCAGGTGAAACTCTTGGCAGGTCCTTTTGATCAGGCGATTTTCCTCTTCCGTTAGGAATCCATCCACCCCTATCTTCATTGTGTCAGCTACCTCATCTGGTATCCGATGCCTTTTCGTCGCTCTTCTCTCTTGGATCACTCGAAGGACCTCCTCCTCCTTCTCCATAGCCTCTTCCTTTGATGTCTCTAGCAGGATCGAGACCGGTTTTGCTTTCTTCCCTTCCGGCTTGTACTTTCGAACACTTCCTTCCGGGATCTTTCTCCTAAAAAATGAACGGTCGGAATTGCCCTCGTTGCCTCTACGACTCGTGGTTGAATACTACCTAATTTCCCATTCAGACAATACCCTTTTTGCACCACTCCTTCAAATTTGGCCAAGGCCGCCGAGTCCACTCCTACCTTGTGGTATCTGAGGGCCTTGATAAGCTGCAACAAATCGGGGATCTCGAGCGCGACTTCTGGCACGTCCATGCATACTTCTTTCCGCTTGGGCAGGCTGGCACCAAGTTCGACTTCTAACTCCTTTTCTGTGACCATAACACCTAGGACTTCATCCTCCTGCCTCCTCTTCTTCTGGGGCAGGCCCATCTTGATCCATTCSTTCTTATTGAAGGCCTCCTCGATCATGATCTCTACCCTCTCTCTCATGCCCTCCATTCGAGCAAAGGTTTCTTTTCGTGTGCTATCTTCGAACGATGGCGACGATGTTGCCAATTTCCCCTTCGGGGGTTCTCCTCCCGTTCCAAGGAGTCGGAGGAGATCTCCCTGGCCGGTCACTGGGTCCTCTATGTCTATCATGTACGAGCCGTCGTGCAAGTGCATGCCTATCAGTTCTACATTTGCGCACCACGGTCTCCCGAGGATTTTGTCGTGGTCCATTTCCTCCATTACGGTCATCCGCTGAAACGACCAGATCGACTCCCTGACTCCTGCCTTTACTGCGCACTTCGTGATGTACCCAGCGAACGGGTTTTCCCCGCCAGCTCCCCGGATGCTCCTTGTTACTTCCTTGTTTACCGTACAACCCGTGATTGTTGCAAAATCTCTCCTTATGAGAGTGATTTCTGCTCCCCCGTCTACTAATGCGTCAGTATGATGAGTCCCGATCTGGGCTTCAGCTTCCCTACGGGCAGTGCATGAAAGCTAAGCTTTGTCCTGAGTGGTGCCCTCATGACCTCGCCGCCCTCTCGGTCGGGCAAGCTCAAACGGATGTTTGCAAAGGCTTTTTCGAGATCCTCCAAGTCCTCGCGACCCCTCTGCAGGTTAGCGACTTCTTGTGGAGCCTCCTCCTTTCTTTCCTCTTCCGGTGCTTCGGGGTCCTCATCTATCTCTATTCGTCGTCGAGTCAACATTTGTCTAAGCCCTTTAAGCAATCTAGGGCTGGCCTGCAGCATGGTCTGAAATGACACCGACACCATGGTCCCTAGCAATTTGCTAAGTGTGTCATCGACCTCTGGTATGGTTAAGATCGGAATCTGATACCTAAACTTCTTTTTGGCGGTGGTAACTTTGTCCGTAGGTTCCTCTTTCCTAGGCTTCCCATAGACTTTCTCTGGTTCCCCGGCCTCAAGTTCTGCCTGGGGTACGAAACTCCTAGCAACCTCCTCCATCACGGTGTCACGGATAATCCTTCTTCCAGTCGTCCCTAGCCGAGTAGTCGCGTTCACCCTATCACGTCCGTTGCTTTCCAAAATGAAGTTGACCTGCGGCCCACGACCCCGCAGTTGTTCCCTGATTATATCGACCACCGGCTTAGCTTCTACGACCACTATTTCTAGCCCATTGAGCATGATAACGGTGTCGGGCCTAACTCCGGTAGACTTTCCAGCCTTGTCGACCCCCCTGCGGGTCCCATACGGCTCGACCCACCCGCGCTAAAGCTCCGGGCGCGGGACGTTCGTCCCAGAGTCACCCCCACCTAATGCTTTGGAATGGGTGGGGCTGGGCCAATAGGGCAAGAGAGCTTAACATTGGGGGATGTAGCTCAGCCCTCTAGTCGGGTGGTAGCCTCACTGGTTTAGTCTCGCAAGCGTAGGTTCTCGATTTCCTCTTTTGTGACCAAGCAATTGCTCCTTCCAATACTCATGCAGTCCAGGGAGTTCTTTGTGAGTCTCTCTTCTTTCTCGTGCGTAGGCTAAGCGTTCTTCCTTAGGCCACACACCTTTTCGCTAGTCGGCCCTAGGGCATCCTCGGGGGGGTTGCGCCGCTCCCTCCCCCTAGCCCCCTCTGCTATGCCTACGGCCTGGTCCTTCGTCCATCCATCCAAACAGGCCGGCCCTTAGTCTTTTCAGGCCCCCATAGAGTGCAAGCATACACGGGCGTCATATCCGACCATGCAAACCATTTCCTCTTCCAATCCCAGACTCCGAGCTCCCGTTCCGATTTTGCACATGTCATCCTAGACACACACCTTCACAAGTCCAACGCAACCAAGGAGACAAGCATCCAGCCCCCCATTGGGGTCAACACATCGCCCTTTCCGCCGTCCTAAGTTTCATTCGCTTGGTCTTATTCGTGYCTCTCCCCATTCCATCTTTGTTCTCAGGCAACCCACACTCTTCACTTAGTCATGCAGTCCGGGAAGATGGTTGAGTCCACTGACCTTGTCCAAAACAACACTCCTCTTTGCTCCCACCAACGTCCTCAATAGTCTCATATCCCTTCCTTCTTGGTGGCACAAGGGACCGGCAGCCCTTCCCTTGCCCTCGCTTTCCACCAAGTGTGGACCGGGTTCCTTTCCGTTCGATCCCTGGCAATGTAACGGTGAGGATAGAAGTTAGTCACATGCCATGGAGGGAAAGGGGCGGTGGAAGGCTTTAGGGGTTAGGGAATTTTGAAAGAATGGAGGAAGATGAGAGGAAAGGGAGAGAGAGAGAGAGAAAGAGCGCGGGAAAGAG